CAACATCAAACTTGGAGGGGCACCGACGGCGTTGTACTTGGCGAATCCTGGACGGTCTTGGCGGCCTCCGGTGGAGGTGTTTTGTTCGTTTGACCTAGGAAAACAGCGGCAGCAGCAGGCATCGCAGGAGCCAACGGGCGCGGTCGCCTACGAACGACGGGGACGGCCAGAGATGCAGCAACAGAAGCAAAACAGCAGCAGCAGCGAAGAAACCGACAACGGCTGGATCAAATCGGGTGCTGTGGTGCTATGCTCCAAGGAGAGCACAGGCGAGACAGAGGAAAAACAGGGGACATCGGCGTCGACCGGTGCTCCGGGAAGGTCGAGGATGCAGGGCACGTAGACGTGCTTGCTGGAGGACGACCGACGACAAAGGTTGGCCGGGATGGTCGCCGGCGGCGTCGGCGCGGTGGCGAACTGGCACAACGGCGGAGGAGACGGCAGCGAGGCACGCAGGAGAGGGAGCTGCTCGGCGGTGCTTGATTCCTGCGAGATCGAGGGAGGAGCGGGTGGCAGTGCAATCCGGCAGCGGAGCTCGCCGGATCAAGGATGCGGCAGGGAGCTCCTGGAGACTGGCGTCGCAGGGAATCGGGCGCAGGGGTCGGAGACGGGACGCGCGCAGCAGGGAGCTCACCGGCCGGAGCTGATGGTCAACGCAGTCGCAGGGTCGCAGGCACGAGGGCTCGGCGACGCTCCTGTTGCCGCTCACGACGACGAAGGGAGGACCATGGGCGCGCGGAGGAGAAGCACTACCTCGCGGCTGTGAACGCGAGCGAGGGGGAAGGCTGAGAACTCCGGCGATGCGGAGGTGCACTAGAGGTCCGGCGGAGGTCAAGGACGAAGCAGCAGGGCGGAGGCGAGGGGAGGAGGAGCTTCGACAGTGGCGGTTGCGTGGGATCAGGACGAAGGGGTCGAGAGGGAGATGGGGACGAGCGAGATCGGGCTCCCTGGCGGTGCGAGGGGAGAGAAATGAGGGAGAGAACGAGGGAGTTGGGTTCGGCCTAGGGTTAGGACTAGGTGGGCCAAAAGGCCGGCCCAGAAGAGAAGGGGCTGCGTCTGGATCTTGGCTGGGCTCTTTCTCTCTCTCACTCTCTCTTCTCTCTAAGCATAAAACAAAAATTAGGGAAGAAAAGAAAAGAGGGAGGGGGTTAGGGAAAGAATTAGCGCACGAGGGTAATATTTCTGGACTCACAAAAATGTGAGGAAATTAAATAAAATGGCAAGAGGATTTTTGGAGAACAATAGATTCGCACATGTTGAATTTAATTCAACATGTTTGAATTTTGAAACCCATTCGAAAGGACTCTAAATGGGCTGAGACTTTTAGAGGAGCCTTGATAAAAGAGATGAGAAATATTGGCAAGGTTTGAAGGTCAAACTCGAAGAGGTATAGACATGGAAAATATTTTGCATGTGTGTTATGGGTGATTCCGAAAATGGAATATTTAATATAGCTCCCTAAAATATTGGGAGGATATGTTATATAGAGAAATCACCACGTGAATTCCCTCGGTTTAAATGGATCAAAGATCCATGCCATTTATTTAGTTGAGTTAAGAAAAGAAATGACATGATGGCATGATGACATGATGCAATGCACATGATGCAAAGATGAAATGCAACGGACCAAACAAAACACACAACGAAACCCGGAAACCCTGGAAGGCATCTGCAGCTCCGGTCTTGGGGTGTCACAGATAGCCACCATCTCATCAAAAGACGGGACACCTTTGCCTCTATCAGAGAGGAGGTAGATGATACCTAAACCAACAAGACAACGTGGTGGTGGTGGTGGCAATGGAACTCCGGCAGGGCTTCGGCAAGTGCGTACCGGTGAAACATGGGAGGAGTTGGGAGAGCTAACGGGCAAGGATCGATGGGGGGCAGCCCCCAACGCCTCCCCACCTTTATATAGGAGTGTAGGGGGCTGGTGGCTTGCCCTCCAAGGCCCTAGGGTCATAGGTCAAGGGGGGGGGAGGGAATCTCTCCTTTCCTTCCCCACAGATCGCTATCTCCCTTTTTAGGATTGTGATCTTATCCCTTCGGGATATGATATTATTCCTTTTAAGGGAGGATCTTGGTGCGCCTAGACCAGGGTTGTGGGGATTTTCCCCACTACCCACGTTCATGTGGGTCCCCCAAAGCATGTGGGCCCCACTCCGGAACCTTCTAGAACCCTCCCAGTACAATACCGAAAAAACTCGAACTTTTTCCGGAACCCCGATAACAACTTTCCATATATGAATCTTTACCTTCGGACCATTCCATAGCTCCTCGTGATGTCCCGGATCCCTTCTGGGACTCCTAACAACCTTCAGACTTTCCGCTATTGATATCTCAACACTACCCTAGCGCTACCGAACGTTAAGCGTACGATCCTACTGGTTCGAGAATCATGCAGACATGATCGAGACTTCTCTTCGATCAACAACAATAGCGGGACCTAGGTGCCGATATTGATTCCTACATATTCAACGAAGATATTTATCGGTTGAACCACGATGTCAAGGATTCAGTCAATCCCTATGCAATTCTCTTTGTCCAGCGATATGTTACTTGCCCGAGATTCGATCGTCGGTATCTCCATACCTAGTTCAATCTCGTTACCGGCAAGTCTCTTTACTCGTCCATAACATAAGATTCCGTGACTAAACTCATTAGGCACATGAAGCTTCTTATGATGTTGTACTACCGAGAGGGCCCAGAGATATCTCTCCATCACACACGGAGTGACAAATCCCAGTCTCGATCCACACAACCCAACAGACACCTTCAGAGATACCTGTAGAGCACCTTTATGATCACCCAGTTATGAAGTTGCGTTTGATAGCACACAAGGCATTCCTCCGGTATCCAGGAGTAGCATGATCTCATGGTCGAAGGGACATATACTTGACATGAAGAAAGCTATAGAAAATAACTAAACATCTGATGCTAAGCTTACGATTGGGTTTGTCCATCACATCATTCTCCTAATGATGTGATCCCGTTATCAAATGACAACTCATGTCCATGGTTAGGAAACCTTAACCATCTTTGATCAACAAACTAGTCTAGTAAAGGCTTACTAGGGACATGGTGTGTCTATGTATTCACTCGTGTATTTAAGTTTTCGGTCAATACAATTCTAGCATGAATAATAAACATTTATCATGAACAGGAAATATGATAATAGCTATTTTATTATTGCCTCTAGGGCATATTTCCAACACTAGCCTACCACATTCAAAGCAAAAATGGGGCACCTTCCCATAGGATAAATCAAACCAAGTTCTATCCATGTCCTCCCGCGAGGTTTTGAGATAGAATCCACGCACTAGCGGCTCAAACACAGAAACTTTGGCCCGAACTCTGAGGTGTTGTCCTCTGGCTAGCCCCTCCTTGTCCACATCTACCTCACGATATTCCCAAGCTAGTTCCCAAGCGCAAAGCCAAAGTATTTTGTTCGCCCATTGGGAGGGAGATCCTTTACCCTCACCCAAATATCCACTTTATCAAAGATCATCTTTGAAGGCCTAGTATCCCCTTCATACTCCTTCAAAATCAGAACACTGAAATCATATTGCCATGGGCCATTATTCATCATGTGTTTCTGGTCACCCTCACTTCCAAAGTGGACACCAAAGATATTTCCACCGTAATCCCTGAACCTCGCAACCTTGTGAAGACCCCAGGCTATTTGCATCAACGTTCTAGCCCAGTCATATTCATTGGCCGAGGCGAGCAAACTTTGCCTACAGCTGGCCACTTTGGTTGTATATGAGCTTTCTCCCATGGATCTTCATAGATGACTCCCTCAGCTTCCTTGTCCATCAACACCATACCTCCTAGCCTCGAAGAAAGGCTCGAAGTAGGGTCCGAAGTCTTGTTCTATGCGGGAGATTCAGCTGATCTACCGCTTGT